GAAGTCCACTCACTAAACACCATCAGTAGTATTGTGAAGCAGTTCCGCTTCCTCCTCACAAAGTAATTTAACCTTTTTTGTTAATTTCTATCTAGCTAATTGAATTTCTACAGTAACTCAATGATTTAATTATTTCATTTGTTCATTTTATGCAGAAGAATCGCTTCAAACCTGTCAAACTTTTTAAACTACAGTTATTGAAAAAACTTTTTTATTTATAAATAAATCATCTGGTAGAATCTTGTTGAACTTTTCAGGGCTGGGGGCTGCATTATTTTGGCAGCCTTTTTTATGTGCCACAGCGTAAAAATGACTTAAAAAAATACAGAATGGTCTTCTTGACTATTTCCACTAACATTGTGAGTCCCGCGGCTAAAGCCCTATTACCCCCACCCCACCTCCTCAATCCAGAACTGAAAATAAGACATAAGTATATAAATAAAAATTATATATACTCTTTGATAAATCAAAGAACATTTGTTTCTTATTATAGTTGTTACTTTATATAAAAAATGTTGCTATATTTTATAAAAAAAGTTATAAAAGAGCGATGTTTCAAAAACAGTTGCTCTTCGCATTTTTTCGCGTTAAAAGCTATTTTTCTTTTTTTAACTGTCTCTTGTCGGTCCAGTTAATCTTAATGCGCTTTTTTGTTTGTTTTTGAAATGTTATCAAAACGACTAAAAAATCTGGCCAGTTTTTCACAACTAAATAATATTTCTGTGGTCAATTATCGAGTGCGATCGCACCCGCTTCCCGACCAAGCCTGAGGGGGCATCTGAGCTTGAAAAAGATCTCACTTCTACTACAGCATGGGGCTCACAGTGGCTGGTGAACTTTAATTCAGATAAAACTCAATTTTTTTCAGCCAATCGTTATCGCAATAATTTAGACCTTCCTATATTTATGAACAGTAATGTACTTGATGAGTCTCCTACCCTTCATCTTCTAGGTTTAACTCTTACTTCTGATCTTTCTTGGAAACCTTATATCAAATCCGTTGCAAAATTAGCATCTGCTAAAGTTGCTTCTCTTTATTGAGCTCGTCACTTTCTTACTCTGGATTCTATTCTCTATCTCTATAAATCTCAAATACGGCCTTGTATGGAATACTGTTGCCATATCTGTAACGGATCTTTGAATGATACCCTTTCTCTTTTAGACAAGGTGCAAAAGCACATTGTAAACATAGTTGGACCTTCTCTTGCAGCCAACCTTCAACCTCTGTCACATCATCATAATATTGCTTCTCTTTCTCTTTTCTACAAATACTATAATGGGCACTGCTCTAAAAAGCTAGCGTCTCTTGTGCCATCTACTAAAATTTATTCTCGTGTTACTCGTCATTCAATTAAGTCTCATTCTTTTTCTGTTACTGTTCCTAAGTGCTCCAAAAACTCTTATTTGTCTAGTTTTTTTCCTTGAGCATCAGTTCTTCGGAATTCACTTCCTTCATCTTGTATTCCTGATTCATATAATTTGCAATCTTTTAAGTTGTCTGTCAATCGTTATCTTGCTCTACAATCCTCATCTTTTCTCTTCCAGTAACTTCCAACACTAATTAGTGGTTGCTTGCAACCTTGTTGGAAGCAAAGATGTTTAAAAAAAAAAAATTTGAAATATATTTTTTAAAAAGTTTATTATTGAGCTACTAAAACACCTTGTTAAAAAATGTTTGAAATTTAGGTACCACCATTGGATAGAGAATATTTAAAAGATCAAAAAAAGAAAGTTGGAACAAGAGGAAAATTTCAAATTGGTACGGTTGATAAAACAACAGCTGCCAGAGAAAAAAGAAAGAAAGAAAGAGAAACTAATGAGCAGATAAAAAGATGTATTAAGTCACCTGCTGTGGAAATTCAAAATGATTCTAATCTGGATGCTAAGTTAAGGTCAAGAAAATAGACATAAATTCATTTTGACAAAAAAGTCAAAAAGAGAATAAAAGAAACGTAAGAAAGTGTGACTAATTTATAAAATGAATGTCTAATATTTTAGTTATCTTTTTTGTTTGTAAGTTTTTTTTTTTTTTTGACTGCTGAATAAAATATTAATTGTAATCAAAGTTTAGTTCATAAAATTCCCAATTACATAGACCTCCGGTTTTCTAGGAGGTGGGGGGGGGGGGGGTGTAGTGGGGGAAATGCACCAAGGCTCAACAATTTGGGGGCCTCCAAACAATCAAGAACTTCTCAATAAAAAATTTTTATAATATAAATAACCTAACGATTATTTAAAATGACTAAAATACGTGTAAATTCTATCTTTTGGTAAATCTTAGTTTTTGATGTCTTTTTGAAATCTTTGATTTTTCTTTTTTTTATCTTTTAAATCTTTAAAATTTCTTTTTTCATCTGTATGCCACCAAAATGTGTTGCATCTGGGCCCCCAGAAATAGAAAATCGGCTTTTTTTACATCTATAAAATAAGCTACAAAAAATATCAAAATGGCTGAAAATGGAGAAAAAATGCTATTATTCAATCCAATTTCCTGAAGAGAATCCCAGTAGGCACGGACATATAAAAGATGTTTTTGAAACGTCTTATACACGTTTTGGACATCTTTTGAATGTTCAAAAGACATCTTTTTTTGGTCCGGTGCCCACTGGGATATAACTTTAAAAAAAAAAGGTGATTTTTTGTCTTAACTAACATTGCAATACACAAATGCCAGGGTGACTCTTTATGATTAAAAAAAAACATCTTGTAGGCAGTGGCTTATTGGGGATCACTTTAAAGAAATAATTATTTCCTTTTTATTTCTTAAACTTACTATTGCTATTTATCATAGATTCAAATGTGTGAAGGAACAATAAAACTATGTTTTTTGTTTTAAAAAAAGAAAAGTATTTTTGTTAAAGAGAACTTTTTTCAATTATGGAATTGAATGTTAATACAATGTTAATACATGGAATTGAATGTTAATAATTCATATATGCACCTTTATTCATTCTTATAGGCGTGTTTATTCATTCTTATATGCGCCTTTATTCATTCTTATATGCACATTTATTCATTCTTATATGCGTGTTTGTTCATTCTTAAATGCGTTTTAAAAAAGCAATTTGAATTAAAAAAAAAATTTAATCATTCTTATATATATTTTATCTACTATAACATATTTATATGTGCACTTGCTCACTTTTTTGCAAAAAGAAGAAAACAAAGAATAATGAGTGAAAAGATTGCTGACCCATACCAAACCCTCAGTCAATGTAGCAGCACCCCACTGCGAGTCAGGCAATTTGTCAGTCAATTTAAGTACTGAAGCCCCCGGAAGCAGGCTATTTCAGAATGATGTCACACTGCTCACCTAACTCAGTAGTATATGCGTTTTAAAAAAGCAATTTGAACAAAAAAAATCATTTACATATAAGCAATTTGTTTTAAAAAAACAATTTATTTTTTCAAAACAAATTTTGTTTATTTCCTGGTAAACAAGATTTAAAATACTTAAGACGAAGACTTTTTACATTCGATGATAGTTTATTTAATTTAGTATTAGGTCTTTGTTTAATTTTATTATCAAATTTATTGATTGGTTAAATAATTATTTATCTAAATACTCATTTATCTAGACTTAAATTTAATTATTTATAATTATTAAATAAATTTAGCGCTGGATTGGCAACCATTTTTAAAATAAATTGCAGTGGCAACAACCTAATTTATATTTTAATTATATCTATATAAAAATATAAAAACCTATTTATAGTTTAGAGATTTTATATAATATAATATAATTTATTCTTATATGCACATATAAACGCTCATATAAGAATAAATAAATGCGACATTGGGAGTAGAATCAATGATGAACGTTACTTAAGGATGATCATATTACCTATAAATTTCATAACCTCGATGGCTATTAAGTGAATGAGTTCATTTCAAATCTTTTTAGATAAGTATGAGATACAATCTTTTCGTTTGTTTCCATGAGTTATCAAATGTTGGGTGAGGAAAGGATCAAATTTTACTAATAGCTCAATACATCCAATAAATCTGATCAGCGAAATAATAATCCTTTGAGAATGAGTAATGAAAAAAGTATCCAAATATTTTAAATTTATTTTTTCACCATTATGTTCGAAGTCAAAAGTTCTTTCTAGTCGTTTAAAAAATAAAACGTCTAGTTGGCAATATTTTTTGTCAATATATAATTTTGCTACTGCTAGAGTATCAATAAACAATTTCAATTTTGCATTGGTTCAGAAATCATTATTAATTGAAAAAATTCTTTCCACTGCTGCATCAGTACCAGTAGGGGTGAGCAAAAATGGGTATCTGGTTTGATTTTTTGAAATCCGAATTCTATACCAGATTTTCAGATAGTTAAATTTCTAAACCAATTCCGGTTTCAGATATCTGTTACAAGCGGATCGGAAACCGGATTTATCCGAATCCAAAACTGATTATAAAAATTGGATAGTCTTCTGCTTTTGCAAACAAATTGACTACATCTATAAAACATCTTACATCTCCTTGTATATTAAACACATTATAGATGTGTTTAATATACAAGGAGATGTAAGAATAAAAGGAGTGGTGGAAATTTTAGTCTAGATTTTTGAAACGAATAGAGGCGTGTGTCTTACCAAAAGGGTGGGTGGAATTTTTTTCTAAATTTATTTTCAATTTATAAACAGCCTAAAACACAGGCCAAATTTTTACTTTTTTACTTTTTTTTTTTTGCATACAATAGTTTTTCTTATAGTATTCCTCTTACTGATTTTAAATATGCAATACTTTTTCTTCTATCGCATCACATTTTAAAGATATTCGGGTTCAAATCCCAAATATTTGTGGTAAATTCCTAATATTGTCAATGTTGTTGTTAAACTTAAAAGATATTGTTCTTAGCCTGCGTAAAAAGTAAAAACGTAAGTAAAATTGTGATTAAAAAAATATAATATTTTGAAATTGAATTCTCTTTATACAAGAAATTTAAACAGAACGAACCATCTAGAATATGTCTTTTTTAATTTAAAATTACTTACCTTGACTGGATACAATACCATTTATACTTGAATATAAAACTCTTTGAAAAGGATTGTTATCATTTGTAACACTCCATGAATCGCTTTCATTTGTTTCAAAGCTGGAATACCAAACATTAGTAATTGCGAATTGTGGCGTTATCTCTAAATTATAATTTATGATGTATGGTGAAGTTAAATATACACCAATATTTCAGAGATTTATAAATTTATTTACCAATTTATAAATCTGAAAAAAATTAAAATAAAAACTATGTGAATAAACAAATAATAAATAAAAAGGAATAAAAAAAAAAAAAAAGAGGGTTACAAAGACAAAAAATTATTTAAATATTCTTTAACAACAATCATAGCTAAATCATACATTAAAAGTATTTCTTTTAGTAACAGGTTATATCATTAGAAAAACTTTATGCATTTTAACTATGAAATTTTTACTTTAAATAATATTTGAAGAATATATTAAAGATATAATTCACTTATTAGGGTTTGGTTGAATAGCGTTATGAGTAAATATAACTTGAATGAAAAGAATAAGCTTTATTTTCGAATAAAAAATATGATGAAAATAATCTTTGGTATTTTATTTCTGTTTATTACAAAGTTAGATTAAAATATTGGGACTGAACTGTTAAACACTTTCTAGTTAAATTTTTAAAAACAGTTTTATAGCACAATGAAACTTTGAGGAGGCAGACGTAGGTATACTTATAGATATATTTTTTGCCAACCACTTTACAATGTAAATTATAAATTTTTAATTTTAAAAAAATTAGTTGCAATAATTATAAGAAATATTAGAAAATATATAAAATGCTTGCAGAAAGCAAGTACTCATATAGACCAGCATCAACATCACTACTACATGTCTCGCTGTCAACATCATTGTTAATTGCAGCATCATCAACAGAATCATAATTTTTATCTTCAGCACCTGAAGATAGACCACATACACAATTGTCTAGTTCATCCCCAGGAAATTCTTTTATTAGAGACTTTTTTTTCTCAAAAAACTGTAGCCCAGATTTGCTTAAACTTCTGGACTGAAATTAAGAGGCCAGTTTTTTACGGCTAACGTTCGAAAGCTTGAGTTCTTATGTTTGCATTGTGAATGTATTATTCATATTTTATTAAAATTGGAACAAATGACGTGGATATTTTTTAGTATAGTTACATGTTATACTGGATTTTTTGCTAACTGATTGCCTGCTTCAGTTTATCCAGTAAAACAGAATACTGAAATAGGCTTTCAGATAGCTATATATAAACATGGTACTTAAAATAACATTACATGTTGCAAAGACCATCTACAAATCTTTAGTGAAAGTAAAATCAAAGGTTTTTTATATTGTTTTTATTACAATTGAAACAAACAGTAATAAAGAAATAGCCTTTTATTAGTAATTATTATTGGTTCTCTGTCTTTTTTTAAATTGTTTCACCTGATCTTTTCTTACTGAATCAGTTGTTTCTTTTTGGAAATTGTTATAAAAGATATTTACAACAATACGTAATCCATATTTTATACAAAACTCTTGGTGATTGTCACAAGTAAAATCAACACTGCTGTAATAATATTTAAAAATTTGTTCTACAAAACTTTTAATTAAAAAAGAATAACTGCAATGTTTGATTAAATTAGGAGATATGACATCTAGAATACTAAAAAGATGACAAATAAAATCAGAAAGAGGTTGACTCGGACATATAAGTCCACCTCTGGATAATATTTTCAGGTATTCATTATTAAGAATATTGTGGTCTGTAGAAACCATTTTTCGATTACAAGTATGACATCCAAATCTTTTTTTCAACTTTTTTGCAACATACCCTGCTATTGTAACAGCAACTTCCATGCTATCTTCAGAAAGCAGACACTCTAAAATCTCTGTAGACAACAAATCAATTTCTTGCATAATATTTTCTAAACTAGAATTATCAGATGTCTGATAAATATTTTCTTCCCAGAAATTATTATCTTCCTTTAGAAGACTTCTTACTGTCAAAATTTTTTCACTATTACATACTTCTAAAAGACTCACTAGAAATCTGCCACCACTCATTTGTCTATACTTACTAAAACCAAAAGATCACTTTGTAATCTGGAAGTAAGAACATAGTCTTCTTTAAGCAAATTATCGATAAGAGATGCAGTTGCCCGTGGTGTTGTTATAAGAGCGAGAGAAATTTGTTTGGAAAATGTAAAACAATCACATTTTGACCAAATATCAATCCAATTTGCAATTTCTTTATAAAATATGGGTTTGTTATCACTCTTCACAACAACATTGCCAAGTTGATTGGATGTATTAAATTTCTGCTTTGAATTAAGTGTCATGAACAACTTATGAAACAAAGATAAAAATTGTGCTGCATCATTTCTTTCAGGAAAATAACTCAATATTGCAGCTGTAGTTGTTTCATCAAATATTGCCAATGCAAGGTTGACATCTTGTTTGTTATATCCAGGATGAGTGACCTGATAATTAATTTTCCTCGCTTTTTAAGTTCCCATTTAATAACTGATCTTTTTCATTTTTTAATCATAAACCTGTTATATACACTTCAGGTGATGATCTCACAACAAAAGGAATAAATTTTTGAAGCCCAATAATCATAAAAAAAAACAATTTTTTTATAAAGATTACTTTCTAAATATTTACCAACATGTTTACCACTTTGATATTGGGCTGCTTTTTGCAAATACATTTCATATACAAGAAGCATACAGTCACTTGATACAAAACTTTTATAGCCTTAAATGCATTTATATCACCACTTTGAATTTTTCTTAATAAACTAAAAGATGGTAAGGGCAATTGTAATAATTACAATAATATTAAGATTTCTTACATTTATTATTGAAATTATCTCCACTTGAATAACATTGCATAAAAAAGCAGTTCGACTGTATACAATATACCAAGTAGACTGTCTGTATGTCTATTTTATTATTCCACTCTCTCTAATGGATTATAATGAAGCAGACAATCAGTCAGAATATAATCAGAAATATATATTACATGAATATGAAGGCATAAACCAAACTTTGAATCAAAGTTTGGTTTGTGAGTAATTATTACAATTATTAAAGTGATTATTACAACTACTTTATCAAAGTTTGATATAACAATTGTAATAATCACATTATTTTAGTTATTAAATATTGTTAATAGAAAATAAGCCGTATAAACTGGCCGCTTAAATTTTTACGGAAAATGCAATAAATCAGGCCATAGTAGGCCATGGTAACAGAATTTTTATATTAAGTACTAAAAGCGCTAATGAATTTGGATAAAGAATACCATAAAACCCAAACATAATACCCAAAAACCTTAATTCCTAATGGTTTAGAAATTAAATCATCATAACTTGCTCATTAAAAAAATATATTTTTTTTAAACGAACAAACGACATAACAAGACAAATTAAACGATATAAAAAAATTTTTTTTTTTTAATTTAATTTTTCATACTATTTAATTTTTAAAAAGCGCTGTTTTTATCCGCTGTTTTTATCAGGAAAGTTTTTTATCAGAAAGTGGTCTTCGAACATAATACTCGATGCATATAAAATATAAAGAAAAACCATACATTTAATAGTAATTAACAGTAAATTAATTAAGTTAGTCTATTAAAAAAACGGAATTGTTTTAAATAAAATTAAATGAAAATTATTTTATTCACATTTATTAAAGATAAATTTCATAGTTAAACGATAATTAACAGCACATACAATACATGACCAATTAGAACATTGCTCACATAAAAACCATTGGTTATCTAAGGTATTCACCTATTGACTTTCATAAGAATAACATAGAAGATTACCAAAGTTCTATTTGAAGCTTGAAGAAAATGATTGTTTCTTTGGTTTTTGATCTTTTTTTTGAAGTTTTTTTTATTTTCTGTGCATTTTCTGCTTTTTGAGTAACAGTTGCAATCTTTTTTTTCTATCTAGCAAATATCTTTGGAATTTGTTTTTTTAAATTATTTTTTTTTGTTGTTGCTTGCTTCGTTAAAAGTTATGGCATTTGCTGAAGTCATATTGTAGTTAGCTGGTCACTTAATTCTCTCACCTTTTTGAACTTTTTTTTTTTTTTAGATTTAGTGTGTTTTTTTTTAAAATTTGAATATACTAGTTTGATTTGGTTCTTTCAAATATTTTTCAATAAAAATCAACAGTTCTTTTCCATTCAAGCCAAAGCCTATATCACTCAACATAAATCAACAGTAACCGTTTCAACACTAACACACAACATGGCTTGTAAGAACTCATTGTTTAAAAACCTGCATCCATTCAACACTGAGTTCTCCAACTTTGTTACCTGTAATTCATGATTGTTTATTTCACTATAGCCATAACTCTACAAGTATGATCATAAAACCTTCCCTGTTGAGTGCCTTAAACGAAGAACAAAGTTCAGATTTAGAACATTTGTACCCAGCTATGTCAAGCGAAGTGTTAAAAATTCTAATTATTTTATTTTTAAGAAGTATCAATATATCACTGTCAAATCTTTTAAAATGAAAATATGAAGTGGCACATTTCTATATTTCCTCAAAAAGGTAGTAAAAGGATGTACGGTGACGCTTTCCTTATTTTCTCTTATTATCTTTGACATTGACATTTCATCTTCTCTCCCAGCATGCACTAACACATATAAAGTACCATCAACATGATAGTTTACAAAACAAGGAGGTGATTGTTAACTCTAGTGGTGCCAATATCTCCCTGCAGTACACCTGTTACTAATTGATTTACATCAATCAAATTATTACTTTTTATTTGTTATTAAGCAAGTTCGTTATAATGGTTATATGTCATTTTTTTGCGCAGTTAAAAGCACAATATGTAGATGCAATTCCATGTCTTTATTTTGTGATATACTTTTGAAATTTTGCATTCTAATGTCTCCAAAAAGCCTTGCTAAGCTTCTTTGTTAAGAGTGTTTGTCAGGGGCGGATCCAGCATTTTTGAGATGACTAACTTCTAAAGCAAACTCCAAACATTTATATATTTATATTAAATAAGGATACTTTGCAACAAATTGCAATAATTGGAGCTTGGGAACAAAAAAACCCAAAAATTTTTGCTTTCCCTGCTCCAAATGTGAGAGAAGTTGATGAATATTTTTTAAACTG